GGGGGACCGGAGTACCTGGAGAAAACCAATGCATGCACGGAGAGGACATGCATACTCCACTCAGAAAGGTCCCGAGCTGGGATTTGAACCGGCAACCTTCTCGCTGAGAGGTGGCAGCTCTACCAACTGAGCCACATGCTGACCTTTAAATAAAAATTTGTTTCTCAAAAAAATCTTTATTTTTATTTTCTTACTAACAGGTGTTTTCTGCATCACTGACACTCTGGTCTCTGCATGTCCAGCTTCCATCCAGGTAACCTTAATGCAGCTGTTTTTAATAGAACATATAACATAATGCAGGGGAGGGGTGGTGCAGAGGTTAGAGAAGGTGGGCCTGTTATAGGAAAGTCGCTTGTTCAATCTCCCAGATAGACAACATCAAAATGTGGGTGGGAAAGGTGAAGCACCCACGCCTGCCTCCACCCTCATTTGCCCCACTCTGGGCCCTTGAGCAAGGCCCTTAACCCCCACCATCTGCTCCCCCGGGTGCCCTTGATGGCAGCTCTCTGCTCTACACAGAGGGCTGTGGTAGCTCGGTGGTCTGTGGTCGTGTCAGGAAGGACATCTGGAAAAAAAACAACTGCGAAGCCTTCGTGTGAGTTAATTCATTGAAGGGAGCAGCCGAAAGAAAAAGAAAAAATAAGACGAATCTTTTAATTTGTTTTTATAAAACAAAAAAATCTGCAAGTCTAAAATTGATAAATGTTTAAGTCTCGAGTCATCCCTCATTTTTTTTTAATATTTTGCAAGCAGCCAAAGTTTCTTGTAATCTTTTGCAGTGGTCTTGTCAGATGCTGTGTTATCAGTGTATTTATTTGTACATGACTCTGATTAATGAATCAACGAGGTAACAAACAGTTTTCTAAACATAAAACATCAATAACAGAGAAATTAGCAAAGAACCAACTTTAAATTGGATCTGAAAGGGATGGTCCAGTCAACAGCAGAGGGATGTTTTGCTGAATAGTTCTCAATATTCATTAACTTACGAGTCTTAACATCAGTCATGGAGCACAGAGTGGAGGAATAAACAAATCTTTGTCCAGGCTAGGCTTATTGATAATTACTTAATGCCAGGATTATATTTTAAATATTAATTCAGGCTTATAAAACATCTCTTTCTCCTAACCACTGTATAGAATGCATGGTCCTGCTGGGAATACTGTATTAACCAGTTCATCGTATGGCCAGCATCTGGAGCATCATAAGAAACAATGGGACACACATGACTGGACTCTAATAACACACATGCAGTCTGTTTTCAGAATATTTTAAATTTAGTTTGATTATTCAGCCCTGAGACCTGTCCAGGGCGTCCCCCACCTCTCGCACAGTGACGGCTAGACAATGGCACCAGTGACCCCTGCCACCCAAAAAGGAAAAAGCGGGTTAAGATAATGGATGGATGGATGGATGGATGGATGGATGGATGGATGGATGGATGGATGGATGGATGGATGGATGGATGGATGAT